CATTCCTAGCCCTTTTGGAGCCACTCAGATGTCTAAAAGGACACAAACCAACAAAGATGCCCTGACAGTGGTGAGAATTGGCCCATTCACGTGCTCCCCATGCCCCACCCCGTCCCGTTCCATAATTCCCTTAAAGTATTAAATTCCCTTTACATATTGAAAGTTGAAAGAGAAGAGCTTTCAAAAAAGTGTATGGAGCTAGTCTGGTAGACAGTGCCTTTGTACAGTGCTCTGTTCATGGCAGGTTTGATATTATACTGTGTCTTGGAGAAATGATGTCTGTGACTCCAGTCTGCTGTCAGGAATAACTGTGGTGATTACTGGATAAAGAAATAGTTGAGGTGGTAGACCTCCCTGCTGTCTGACAGTGGGTGTCTATCTGTCCCTCTGTGTGTGTGTGTGTGTGTGTGTGTGTGTGTGTGTGTGTGTGTGTGTGTGCGTGTGCGTGTGTAGGGGTGGCAGGGTGGAGACAGGGATTATGGACTATAATCTTCAACTATAAGGATGACAGCCTTAAAGAAGACTTGAAGGTAATTAAAAGGGAGGTACTAGATTTCCTTTCCCTTCAAAATATATTCTTAGGGAAGTTACTAAATGGGGAGGTGGGGGTAGGGGAAGAACCACTTCAACTGTAAAATTGGTCAGAGCACTATTCTTTAGCCTACTAGAAATAGGAAGGAAATAAGACAATAGAATTTATAGTGACCAGTCTTTTTAATTGTCTTTGCTGAATAGAAATCTGCAACAATGTACATGATTACTAACATATTTTTAGTTCACACACAGCTAATCCCTTTTAAAAAAATACTTTTAGACTTGCATTTATACAGAAGATGCTTCTTAGTGTGTGTTGGAATAGGGGTGATGTGATGGGAGTGAAATAGATTTACCGTATGTATAGTTGCTGTGTGCCAGGCGTCTTTTAGTTTAGGATGTGAGCGGGTCTTCCTGCTTTGATGGAGGCATCAGAGCTGTCCACACAGGAAGTCCTCCCTGACTGTGGTCCACACAGGAAGTCCTCCCTGAGTGCTGACAAGCACTCTTCCTGCTGATGCCACACCCACTCCTACAGGGAATGCAGAGAAGCTCTGCTAACAGCCACCCAATTATTTGTCATCAACTCTGCATGAGAATTTAGCCCAGTTATTAATAAATGTCATTGTGAAAACTGAATTAGCTTGTTTTTCACCTTGGATGACAATTTGCTAGGTATATTGTTTGCCTGAACTGAAGCAGTGAGATTAGGCCAGAGAAGACTGGGATAGACTTCTTGGATCTTGTATGGTGAGCCATCACTTAGTGGTGGTCATTCAGCCATCCAGTTTCTTAAATAAATAGGTTGAATTTGTGAAAATTGTCTACATGCTTCATCCAGTGGGTGAAAAGTTGGCAGTGGGGGAGGGGGGTGTCTTTTCAAATTTGGGGGCAACTTAGGGGTCTTGAGAGGCAAAATGTAAAAGGACAGCCACCAATGAAAATGAAGTTTGGTAAAGTATCATCCACTTACAAGCTTTTTTCTCTCCCTGAGTTTGCTGTTCATGCTGCTGAGGCATGTGACTGTAAAATGTAATTGCTTTGAATTGATCAGCAGGCTCCTAAGTAAGGTAAGGACTTGTCAGGGTTTGTATTTCAGTCTGGGAGTGAGAGTTTCATTCTTTTGTTGAGTGGAGCCTTCCTAAAATGATGACTCTGATGTTCATCTGTAACATGCTGTAATTTTCCAAAGTTGTTTGCAGAATTCTTTTAGTGAAAAGATCTATAAGGTAGAATCTTTAAAACTGACCTTTTAAAAGATTTCCTTAAAAAAAACCACACATACACACAAGCTGACTTGTGTCATCATTAAATTAACTTAAAGGCACCTTTGACATTTTTTTAAAAATGCAGCCACCGATGGTATTAAGTATCATATTTCAGAGAAACTGGAATTTAGTCATTTAATTTGCAGGAAGGATGAGCACAGAAAAATGAAGTAATACAAATAGCACATTTAGGATATGGACAATGTTTCGGATGCCATTTAAGGCACAGATTAAGGGCTTTGACATTTTGTCCAGCAGACCTGAGTTCAAATTCCAGTCGTGCCACCTACTAAAAGTGTGACTGTGACACATTACTTAATGTCTCCTGAGACTCAGTTTCCTGATCTTCAAAATGTGAAAATGAAAATGCATCTCTCTCATTTGGATTAAGTAAGATAATACATAACACAGCACATGGCATAGTGTGTGGCACATATGAAACATGCAATATATGATAGTAATTATTACCCTGCTATTACAGTTATCATTAACCAATTCTGAATATTTTGGAATAAACTCCTTTATTGTGTTTGAATTTTCTTCTTTGAACATGTATCCAGTCTTTATTAGGATTTAACTTTTTAATTTCGACGAGTTCTAAAAACTCAGTCTTTGGTCTAAAGTTTTCTGCACCAGAAAATAGAAAATTGACAACCTGGACTAATTTAATGCTTCTTCTCTTTAGTCATCAGCCATTTGTGACAGTTGCTATTAGGATACTTTTGAATTTAAACTTGATCACCAGGATTCACCAGAGACCAGTCATCCTCCTTGAGATGCATTCAGGAACCCCTTTCTCCCACCTGGGATTGGAATACTAGGAGATTTCTTTCCCCAAGAGAGTAAGTTGAAGTGTAAGTGGGGAGGGCCAGAGGGTATGTGCTCCCCACCTACTTCCCAGAGTAGGAAAATATTACTGTCATAAATAGGGAGGCCTGTCAAAGATATATTAGATCAGCTATGTAAGTCACAGTTCTACTTCTGCCAAATACGTGAATAAAAGCCTATTCCTTCATGTCCAAAAAAATCTGATAAATCATGCCCCCAGGTGTTCCTTTTAACGATAGAAAGTCCTTGCCTGGCACTCCACTTTCCACCCACAGAGAAAAGCAGAGGTAAGAGCCAAGGCCAGCTTGGAATGCAGTCTTTCAAACACCTGATGGTTCACTGGCTTTGCATGGCATCCCCCTGAGAGGTGGGCATTGACCCGAAATCCACAGCTTCTGTCAGACCCCTGCAAGGCTTACCCAGGTGAGCACATTTCCTTCCCCGACTGCCACCCTGAACACACCAGGTCTTACTGGGAGAAACAGTGCGTTTGTGGCAAGGACCAGGTTCTTGGACTTTAATCAGAAGTGATTTAAGAAAAATTTCAGTCTTGGCTAATCATCTACAGCTGTCAGTTCTTTGTGTAAATCGAAAGCTAGGGACAGGGAGGCAGATGTGTGGGTTACGTCCCAGCCCCTCTGCTCTTCACTGAAGAAAGAAAGAGGGGGCACCTGGCCGATTGCAGGTATCAGCCAGCAGTTTTATTGAATGACCTTGGAGAAGGAACACAGACCTCTTGGTGGCCCAGATTAGGGGTCTGCAGTGCCATCCGTGCAAGAGACAAGGCTTAGTTTATACCTGGAAAGCAGTTTTTACCTCTTAGAGAAACACAAGGGATGACAGCAAAGGGTTTGAGTTCACCTGCTTATTAAGGGCATAAATCGAATAGATTTGATAGGATATGATCTCAGGCAGGTTTCACTGGGGTTAAGCATTGCTGATGTTCCTGGTTCAAGTTCAGCCTTCATTAATACATTGACGTTAACCCTTCTGGCAACACTCCTTTTTGAAAAACAGTCCCTTGAGATAAAGTGGTGTTTGGGCTGTGATTTTAGCAAGGATCCTGAGGAGTGAGAAGAAACGTCTGTATAGTATACGTTTCATGTCTAGATCCACGCGGAGCCCCATGCCCCAGGATACTGTGGCGTTAGGATGGCCAAGGCAGAAACATGGTGCAAAGCTGGACAATCTGTCCTGGGGCGTTGAGCTGGCCAACAGGGTGAGCAGGGTTGTGTGTATTGCCAGAGGTCTGCTTTTTGAGCTCTATAAAGTGGAATTGAATTGTGTCTTAGATATGCCTTATTTTTTTGTTTGTGGTAGTAAAAATCCTAAGGTTTGACATTTTTGATCCATGTCTAGTGACTAATTTTACATCTTCAAACTGTTGTTCAGTGTCAGTGATGTCCTTTATTAGGACCATGTTGGTTAGTCTTATTTATTATTTAGAAGACGTGAAGTGAAAAAATTCCTGTCCTGGTGTGAAATGGCAGAGCATTTGCTGTGAGAACACTTTGGGGTGTGCTTACCTGCACCTCACACTGAACCATTTCACTTCCTCAGAGGTCAGGTGTGTGGCACAGGGATGGAGAACTGTGGTTTCTTTCAGTTGGTTAACAATTATCTGGTGTGAGTACATTTTCAGACGGTCTTCCTAGGTGGCTAAAGCCACACTGAGCCCTGGCTTGCAGGCTTTACAGAAGTGAATGTTGGTTGCTGCCAGGCCTGGGAATGTTTCCAGCTTCTGCTCCATTCTCACAGGAGTTAAATTTCACAAGGTTAGCCAGAGCGAAAGGCAGCTGACCTGTGAATCTTGTCCAGATGTCTCAGAGAAGCCGTGGGTCTCTTAGAACAAGGTGAAGTCTTCGTTATTTGAGCATCTTGACTAAACTCTAACTTTCTGACACTTGAAGAGTAATCTTTTTTTTTCTTTTTTAATCACTAAGAAGTATCTCAATAAAATTGTGAGCAACTTTCAATGAAGTGTTTTTCAGCATTTGAAAACCTTTCAGAAGTCCAGTGATTTCTGAATGACTGTATATTAAAATATTATTGCATGACTTATGCAAGTTCACTTTGAGTCTTGAATGTATTCCTTAAAGTATGTAAAGAAAATCTTACAAAATCTTAGTCTTATTTCAGGGGCATGTAGAGAAAAGTTTACTGAGTTGTCCTGTTATTAATTGCATGTTGAGGGAGAGAATACTTTTGCAGAATGAACAGATCTTTTTTAAGATGTAAATTAAAATGAATGTAGTAAAGTAGCTGAAGATCATCTGTATTTATATCTTGGTTTGGAGATGATGCAACCACTGAACGGTGCTGAATACAGGTTCCATGGAGCATTCTAATGCTGTGGTCTTTGTTTTCCAGCAGTCTCTGGTCCCAGCCCATCCTATGGCCCCTCCCAGCCCCAGCACCACCAGCAGTAATAACAACAGTAGTAGCAGCAGCAACTCAGGATGGGATCAGCTGAGCAAAACGAACCTCTATATCCGGGGACTGCCTCCCAACACCACGGACCAGGACCTGGTGAAGCTGTGTCAGCCGTAAGTAGAGGTTCTTGTTTTTAGCGCCTAAATACCTCCTTGATCATATCACAGAGTGATATAAATTGTGTTTTAAGAGAGGTTTAGTACAAATCTGTGAATCCTCATTACGGTCACAGTTGACAGGGTTTCTGAGTTTTGAGTCCTTGGACACTTTCTCAGCCAGCATTAACATCAACAGGGTGCCTATATTACAAAATTAATTGGAGCATTTTCTCAGGAGAATTTGCCTTTGTTAGCACATGAGAAGGAGAGTATGAATGATTTGAAAACACGGCTGGTTCCTTTTGAGGAGTGCTTTTGCTTTTGTGGAGGCATGTCTGGGGGCCAGTAGGTCTCATCCTTAAGAGAAGCTTCAGTTGTCACTGTTTGTCAGAAAGGTAGTTCCCATCTAGCCTAATTCTAAATGTGTATAAGCTCTTAAGTCCAGTGGGGCAGCGGTGATCTGTCTTCACTCACCCTGTAGTTTTGTGGTTCGAGTTGCTCACGCTTGGCTCTGGACATTCTTATTCCTCAAGTTCCTATTCCTCTTCCTGCTGCCACCCTTGTGTCCTGGGAAGAGAGGGGCACATGTGTGTCGCTTTGTCCCAAAGGAAATGTGCATTCTCTGCTAATGTTGTCGAGGAATAGAATAGAAATATGCTACTTGGCTGCAATTGCATTAGCTCACAAAGAAAGCACTAATTTAAACCAAAGAGCCAGAAGCTTTGTGCATTGCAAGGATCACTGTATAAAGACTAAGAACACCTCTAATCACTTTAGCTATAAAACCCTGCGCATGCAGCAGCATCTGTTATTTACCCAGAGACAATCATGGTCCTTCACAAATGGAATTTTATGTAACTGTGGAAAAGGATGTCCACTAAAGAATGTTTCCTGTTCCCTGGAAAGTAGTTCCATTTCTAAACATCTGGTTAAGAGCATCTTATTTCCGTTATCCTGGTAAAATATAAATTCATTACTTCTTGCTTTAAGGAAAAAAAAAAATCTTAAAACATACTTGGGCAGCATTTCCAAACCGGAACTAAAAGTAACATCTGGCTTTCCATCAGGAGTGGTGGTGGTTTTGCTCTGTGGTGTTTTTAGAGAGGAGTGTGGGACGGTGAGAAATGGCTTGTCAGGATCCAGAGAGCCTTTTGAAGGACATCGCCCTCAGCACCCTCCCTGGGCCTTTCCCATGTTACCCTTCTCATCAGCCCCTTTGGACTTGGACTGCAGCCTTTGCTTCCAGGGCGGTGAAATAATGTCCTATGCTCAGGATGACTTTGAAACCAAGTCTGGCTCTTGGGGTTTGTCCTGCTGACCAGAGTCAGAAGGAACTCTGCCAGGCGCGCCCTGCCCTGTTGCAGCTGTTCACGACCACAAATAAGCCTTTTGCTATCTTGTCTGCTGCTGGCCTTTACCGGCATCTTCCTAGGTTTTTGCAGCATAATTACAGGTAGATAGAGCACCCTAAAGTCTAAGGAGCTAAAAATACAACTTCGTAGGGAACAGTAGAATCAAGATAAGCCTCACATGTTTGAGGTCTAAGAGAAGGGGGCAAGATTTCAGAAGACAGATTTTTCCTTCAGCTAGTTTGGAAGCACGTAAGGTGAGTTTTAACACAAAGGTAGAATTGAACAACCATAATAGAGCAATACCTTGTTTTATGTACAGTAAATCTGTGTTCAAAAAATTAAACCAGAAGTTTTTTTGTTTTTTTTTCAACTGAGTTAAATCGTGTCCCAGATGCAGCAGAAGAGCATTTGATCATCTGTCCTAGATAATTCATCCTCTTTGACGAATGTGGATTTTCTCAGCTTGTAGAGACTTCAGTAGACATCAGTCTCTTTGCTGTTATCAATAGCAGCAATAACAGTTTGCCACTTACTTTCTCCTATCATTTGCAAAACCCCAAGTTCAATAGTTAGCTCCAGTGGTAGTTTTCTTTATGTGTTATACAGACGCAAGATACGCAGTAATAGAGAATTGTATGTCAATATCTGTTGAGAGCTTCATTCCATTTAACATAGAGCATCTAATAAGTACCAGATTTGTCTTGTTGACAATTTCGTGTCTCAGAATATAGAGAGAGAGCAAAAAAGGGCATTCCTGTTCTGGACTTGATTGTTTCCTATAAAGAATAGCTAGTTGGCGACATGGAAGTGACAAGAACCCTTATGGGAAAGTGACTCATCCTAGAGCTTAAAAAACCCAGTGGACGTAATTAGAGAGTTTTTAGAAAAGTTTCAGAAGCGTCTCAGAAAAGATAGGTGTAAACTCATAGCTCTAAAAAAGGAAATATATATTAGAAATTAAAATTTAGGACTGTCATTTACAAATTGACCTAATGAGCTGAATTGTAGGAGGGGCAACAATAGAAACAAACAATTTTAATCTCTAGAGGACTTGTATGTTTTTGAGGGTTATCTAACAGATAAATGGAAAAAGATGCCTAAGAACATTTGTAATAGGGACTCAATAATGTACAAACAATGCATGAAACCTAAAGGCAGGAATGACATGAGGGTTGTGAAAACTGGAGAGAGAAACCAAAAGTATTTTTAAAACGCTGTGTTTGGAGTAGAATATACAATTTTTTCTATAATGTTAGAAAAAATGATGGTGAAAAAGCAGATGTCAACACAAAGATGATGATGGAAGAGCAGCCTCTTTCCAAGTTACAGAGGGACTCAGGACAACGTGAAGAGAGCGTCCTCATGGCCAAGAGGAAGGGGCTCGTGCTGGACGGCCACCAGTTTGGGTTACTTGAAGGAGACTGGCCTCAAGGACCGGGCAGGCATGTGACTCTGGTGATGGTGGTCAGGTGACACGGAGTAAGAGTAGGTCCATTTTCTAAAAGCATTTGATGAAGGCAGCTCAGCCGCCCTAGCTAACAGCACACCATCTTCATGGCTTTCTTACCTACAGTATAAAATCATGGTAGTCAAGGTGGCAAATTTTTGGTACCCCAGGGTTACCTACCACAGTGCTAAGCAATTACCTCATTCTGTCAGTAGCCTGTATAATGGGGCAGATGATGCTTATATCATGAGGTGCTGACTAGAACTAAATCGAGTAATACAAGCAAAGGAACTGGTCCACATTTTAGGACCATCAAAACTCTTTTATAATTGAACACGTATTTGTCTCCCCATGACTGAGCCCTTGGCTCCTCAAAATCCCAACTGCTGGCATACATTTTAATTACATATAGTCCTACATCTTAAAGTAAGAAGAAAATACCAGATTCCGATCCTGAAAGCTGAGAAAGCCAGGGCATTTGACAAAATTCCCATAGGCTACCTTGACAAAAACCACCAGCCTTCTCTCGCTGGAGCTTTTTGGGGGAGCCGGGGGAGGGGAAAGGAAACACTAAATACTAGTTCCATCTCATTGCCACTCCTCCCTGATTTACTCCTTGTCATAGTGATGTAAAGTCCTTTATTGTGTCCAAACTATTTTTTCCTGAAGATTTAGAAGCAACATTTGGTACAAGGTTTGGTACATAGTTCTTCCTGGTTTGCAGTGGGGGCAGATATGTGGGTCTCTGTTGGCTGAGGCTAGACATTACTGTGGTAGTGACATCACATGGAAGGGTCTACATAACTCAGTGTATCAGCGGCTTCATGGTGGTTGTGGTTTAGTTGCTAAGGCGTGTCTGACTCTTGTGACCCCACAGGCTGTAACCCACCAGGCTTCTTTATCTATGGGATTTCCCAGGCTACTGGAGCGGGTTGCCATTTCCTTCTCCAGGGAATTTTCCCAAACCAGGGATCGAACCCAGATCTCCTGTGCTGCAGGCAGATTCTTTACCAACTGAGCCAAAGGAAAAACAGTGTAGTGATATTAAGGCAAAATGAGATGTTTCTACTCTTCCTACCTTCTGTAACCTTTCTCTCATTCCCAAACCAGTCCTTGGTCAACCAGTTGTTTTTGTTTTTCCCGCTTTCATTCAACAGATATTGAATTCATTTCACAATGAAATAAAGCATGATTTTTATATAAATGTGAAATTAAATTTAGCTTATAACATTACTAGTACTAATTAAAAGGAAATATTTTTGAAGTATGATTCCCTGGTTGTAATACCCAGTATATTTTCATTTTCTAGCCCTTTGTTTTCTGTTCTCTGCAAGTTTTCTTTATTCTTTTGAATACAATGCAACTCTTAAAAAGGCGAAGCGGAAAAAGCAGGACAGATCAACAGAGGCAGACATAAACAGCCAGCCCTAATTTGAGACAGAATAAAGTAAATGTTATAATCAGTGCAGTGTTCTGGGAGGAGTCAGAAGACTGTTCATTAACCCCAATGCCAGGGAATTGGGGTTGCTTCCAGGGAGGAGATGATGCTAAACCAGAAAGAAGGAAGATTTCATGCAGGATGGAAATAATAGTGTCCTCCAGGCCTCTGAGAGGACCCAGGAGATATGAGCATGCTTGGATGTTTAAAAAAGCACAAAGAGCTCTTCTTGGTGCATAACTGTCATTTAGCTGTTGTTTGTTAGCCGGGGCTTCTGGTGTCCGGAGCGGGGAGAGTGGGTGTAGAGCAAAGAGAAGCAGGTTGGTAGCATATTGTTAGCACTGAATAATAAGCCAAAACTTTTGGAGTTTATTCTTTAGTTTCAGAGGAGAAGCTAGCCCTTGGAGTGGAAGAGAAACACAGTTCTGTGTTTTCTTTTTCTCTCTTTCTCAAAATGGTAATTAGGCCGCAAGTCAACAGGTTGGCTTGGAGAAGGGGGCTCTCATAAGTCAAGTTAACACGACCCTCATCTGGGGCTGTAATGAAAGATGGAGGGAAGGGGCACCCTAGAGACAGAGACCCAGGGACTGAAGCAGGATTTAAAATGACTGTAAGGTTTTAGCTCTGAATAAAATGAAAGTGTGAGTTGCACTTACTGAGAGAGAAGACGTGAAGGGCATAGACACTCATTGATTCTATCTCACACCCTAAACTCCAGCCTCACCTGTGTTCCCCAGATGGGCCATACTTTTATTCATTCATGCAACCTACAAACAGC